ATTTTTAGGAAAGAGAGTTTAATGTAGCTTCAGCATAGGCATTGAAGCTTTCTGCCCAGTGCCCATGTCCTAGCTAATGCCTAATGGCAGGGTTTGAAAGTTACATTTCACAATATATGTTGAATTCATTTTGCAGAACAGTTAGTATATAACAGCAGTTAGTATATAATTTACTATTTAGGAGCAGACTCTACATTTTATAAAACTCAATTTCCTACCATTCAAATATTACTTTCAAAAATATGTTGCATCACCAGGAGCCACAGTGTTGAATATGCCATCAATTGGGGTAATAAGGGTTGGGTGGGGACTGTGGGGTAAATTGAGACAGTTGCCTCACATTTTGTAGAAATGTTGTAGCAGCTAAACTAATCAAAATATTTCAAAACTAAAAATAGTGGCATAAAGTTCAACATTTTTACTACTTGTGTAGCATAAAGCAGGTTAGGATATCATACATTTACCACCTCTAAAAAATCCCTTGAAAAAAGTGTGAATGTACCTCTGCAAAAGTCTGTAGCTGAAAAAAATATTTGCTGTATCAAAAAATTTTGCTTGCATAAAAGGTGCACAAAGGTGTTGGCTCAAAAACATGGTTGATGGAATTCGCATATCTCATAAAAAAAATGGCGGCCATATCCGCAGGACCAAGTGGCGGGTAATAAGTGACTCCCCTAAAAACATTTACAGTAAAACCTCAATTAGCAAAGGCTCTAAATAACTAAAAAATCAATTATTGACAAAAAGTTTTGATTATATTTACCTCACTCATCGAAAATATTCACTTAAAAATTAATGCATCTTAGGTCATCACAAAATTGTGCAGAGAATGTCAGATAGAATTGTGCACTGGGCAACATAAAATGAAAAGTAATTAGCCTAAACTATGATTTTTTCTCTAAAAAAATATGATGGTTGTCACAAGAATATTCCTTTCTGTTTCAGGTATGTTTTTTTTTACAACTTTTTTGTTATAGTGAATTCACTTGCCCAATTAAAATGGTGATAAATTACAAGCCCTCCTGTAAGCTTACAGACACAGAAGAAATGCTATATATCTGCTGATATGAAGCTTGCAGTGGACAAGGTCATTGTAAATGCTCAATGGCAGTTTCATGGATACGGTAATATCACATCAATAAAATGGTAATGTATGGATATGGTGATATCAATAAAGGAAAAACAGGTAAAAATGAAAGAAAATGTCATTTATTCTACATGTGCATAATCTACAAAGGAAAATGAGGACTTCAGATTAATGTTAGTAATAGGTGAGT